ACCAACCACCCATTCCCATATAACAACATCTGGCAGGAGTTGAGTAACAGCTGTCCCCATTATTATTTTATTTTATTAATAGGTAAATACATTCACATGATTCCAAAATAAATTATAAATAGGCATGTAATAAAGCCTCCCTCCCATCCTTGTCTCCTTCTCCTCATTGCCCTCTTTAGTAATCTCTTCTTGTTTTCTTATGCAAACTTCCAAATTTTCTTTATGCATATACAAAAAAATAAAAATATAGATCGTTCCCCCCTTTTCACCCAGCTTCACCCTGTTATGTCCTTTGCTTTTCCCCATGGAGGACTCTCTGTGTTGGGACATAGACAGCTTACTGCCACATGCCATTCCACTGCCAGGGAGTCCTATGATTTATTTAGCCAGTCTCCCACTGATGGGTATTTGGGTCATTCCTAATATTTGCTGTTATATACAATACTGTATCAATTATCTCATGCTTAGTTTGCACAGGTGCAAATATTTCAGTAGAAACTAAAGAAAAATTATTAGGAACTAGTGTAAGCAGAGGGTACAGTAGGCAAGGACTGAGTCCTCAGCAAGAACCTGAAGTGAGGCTAAGGGAGGAAACACGATGAGGGCTGCTCCTAAGAGTGATTCCTGGGCTGGCCAGTTGGCTCAGCTGGTTAGAGCATGGTGCTGATAACACCAAGATCCAGGGTTCGATCCCTGTACCAGACACACACACACACACACACACACACACACACACACACACAAAAAGAGTACCAACAAAGCCCAGAGACAATGCCCTTGGGGACTAGGGAAAGGCTCCCAGATTTGCTTCTGCTACTTGCTAAATATGGAACTTCTCTCTGGGCCTCAGTGTCCCCGTGTGTAAAATGAGGGAGGGGCTTGGGGGATTGGATGAGATCTCAAAGGGCCTGTCCAGTTCTGATGAGCTGCAGCCCACCTTCTCCCTCTGCACCAGCCAAACTCATCCTCTTCTCAGCCCTTGAATGTACCTAGCTCAGTCCCATTGCAGAGTCTTTGTCCAAGCTGTCCCCATCCCCTTCCCTAGCCAGTGGAACACCACCCCTGTGCACCCCTGTTGGTTCTAGTCTGAACCTCTGAGCTTGCTAGCCACTCAGAACAGACCAGTCCAAACTGCTTCAGAGCAGAGTCCCCTCTACAGCACCCCTGGCAGGTGGGCCACTCCATACCTGGCCCACTCTTCAGACAACCCATCAAATCCTTCCTCTATGTCAATTTCTTCAGTTGCCTGAACTCTAGCATAGAATTCTTGAATGCCAACTCTCCTATTTCCTAATGAATGGCTTTGTGACATCGCCTCCCTGAGTCTTAGTTTCCACTCGAAAAATGGCTGGTTTGAGGATAACATGGTAATATCAGTAAAGTTCTTAGCACAGCTCCTGACACATAGAAGGATTTAATAATTCCATACATCACTGCCCTCATTTGAATAAATTACCTGGTTTATAAAGTGGGGAGAATAACAGAACCTATTCCATAGGACTGATCAGTCATCAATTCATTCATTTATTCATTCAATGATTTTTATAGAATACATACTGAATGCCAGGCCCAGCACTGGGCCCTGGGAAATTTGGGAAATGAAGAAAATAGATGAATTGTCCCAATCCTCATGGAGCTCCCAGGCAATTCCAAACAGGCAAACATAAAAAGATGAATTGCCAGTGTGCTAATGTTAAGAAGGAAAAGACTAAGGTTTTTTTTTTTTTTTTTTAAAGATGACCGGTAAGGGGATCTTAACTCTTGACTTGGTGTTGTCGGCACTACGCTCAGCCAGTGAGCGAACCGGCCATCCCTATGTGGGATCCGAACCCGGGGCCTTGGTGTTATCAGCACCGCACTCTACCGAGTGAGCCACGGGCCGGCCCAGGTTTTTTTTTTTTTATACAATGACTGGTAAGGGGATCTCAACCCTTGGCTTGGTGTTGTCAGCACCACACTCAGCCAGTGAGCCAACCGGCCATCCCTATATAGGATCTGAACCCGGGGCCTTCATGTTATCAGCACCGCACTCTCCCGAGTGAGCCACAGGGCCGGCCCCTAAGATGTTTTTTTTTTTTTTTTTTTTTTTTTTAAAAGATGACCGGTAAGGAGATCTTAACCCTTGACTTGGTGTTGTCAGCACCACGCTCAGCCAGTGAGCGAACCGGCCATCCCTATGTGGGATCCGAACCCGGGGCCTTGGTGTTTTCACCACCGCACTCTACCGAGTGAGCCACGGGCCGGCCCCCCTAAGATGTTTTTTATTTGCTTGTTTTTGTTTTTGGCAGCTGGCTGGTACAGGGATTCAAACTATATGACTTTGGTATTACAAGCCTGTCAACTAACCAACTGAGCTAACTACCAGCCTAAAAGACTAACATGTTATGGAAGCTCATAACAGGAGAGTGTCAGAGAGACTTCTCTGAGGGGTAGGGAGTGGGGCACAGCTGGGTGAGAGATCTAGAAGGGCTTCCTGTAGGAAGCATCACTCCAGTTAATAATTACCATTAATTATCTTCACCACAGCCCTAGGAGGAAAGCATTGATTATCTCCCATTTTACTTTTTTCTGAAGATAAGATAAATGGAGTGATTTGCCAAGGTCATGGAGTCAAGAAGGGATAGGTGGGTTTCAAACCCAGATTTCCTGGCTCCAGAGTCTCACTGAAAAATCTGTCTTTTACTGCCTGTTTGAATAGGCCACCACCGGGATACAGAGAGGCATTGGAGAATAGAGAGGCTGCCTCCATTTTAATGGGTCCCAAAGGTGAGAACCTAACTATGCCAGGCCCTACCCAGGCACCTGTGAGAGAAGGCAGAAATCCAGACACACACCGAAACTGGCCCAGAACCATAAGAGGGCCAGGGACAAAAGGGGGCTGGGGCCAGAGCTTCTCCCCTGGCCCTACCACCCATGGCTCTATACGCTCCATGAGTCTCCCTGCCTAGGGTTGTAGGAGAGAGAGAAAAAGCAGAGATGCTCCTTTCTAAATCACATTGGAATTCCGACCTTCCAGCCCAACCCACAAACACTCCCACTAGTCTAAACATGCCCACAAATAGGGACCTGTCAGCCTTGAATCCAGTCTGGAAAACTCCCCTAATCCCTAACTCTTCCCCCTCTGGTTTCATTCTTTGGCAATAGCTGGTATCCCAACCTCCCAAGCATTGCTGGTACCAAAACAGTCCCTGACACAATAGGGATACCAGGTTGCAGGACTGCAGATGGCTGCTCCTTCTGACCAGGGCAGCTGTCTCCCTTCATCTTCTCTTCCCTGCCACTCACAGGCAGGCTGATCCTCCTGCCTCCCTTCCTCTCCTCCTCTTCCCTTGCCTCCTGCCTTTTCCCCCCCTCCTCTCCTCCTCCCATCAAGAGGTAGCAAAGCCTATTCTGCAGCCAGATGATGATGAGCTTTAATTTGGCTCTAGCACTTATTATAAGACTGAACAAATTAACTAAGTTTTCTGTGACTCAGTTTCTTCATCCATAAAATGGGAGGAAAAATGTGAACTACTTCACAATTGTGTGGGTAAAATGAGTTAGTAATTGTACAGTGCTTAGAATAGTGCCAGGCAAAGAGAAACTACTACATGAATGCGTGTATAATAAATGCTCTGGTACATCCAGTCTGAGCAAGGGCGGTGGGGGGCGGAGGGGTGTGTCCTGGGGTTATCCAGGATGTGTGAGGGACCCCACCTCCTCTCATGGATTACTGTTATCATCTCCCTCTGGTCTCCAGCCCCATGCTGCTTCCCTGTGATCACATCTCTACTCTGGCTGCTGAGTCTTCTTTCTAAATCCTGATGGGACCATATAACTCCTCTGCTCAAATTCTGCAGTGGTTCTTTATTGCCTGCTGGATAAAGGCCACCTTCTGGTCCTTTAGTATCTCATTCCTCAGAACTCTCCAGCCCCATCTTTCCCAGCTTTGCACCCCCCTGGATCTGTGATCCAGACTTCCTTGAAAACATGCCCTCTAGTCTCTGGCCTCCAGGCTTTTTCCTCCACCTGGTGTTTCCTCCCATCCCTTTCCTCTTGATGCTGCCCCCTTCCCTCCCCCTACTCTACTAGGGCTGTGGCCAGATGAAGGCAGTCCCTGAGGGAGGGAAAGGGGACAGTGAAGAAGAGACAGCAACTCTCAAAGCTGCAGTTTTCTCAGCTTCAAAACAAAGACAATAAGAAAAGGGACGTCTCAAGATCAAAGGAGGGGATGAAACAATATAGGAACACTCAGGAAACCACGAAGTGGTGCGTTAGTACCGAGTGATAGCTAAAGGGTTATTGGGAGGCCTGCCCAAGCAGCCAGCCCCCCAGCCCCTTAATTCTGAGTCCCCAGTCCTCTTCCCCCTCAGACCCAAGCCACCGGAGGGAAAAACAGGAGAGAAATAAAAAGGAGAGGATGGAAAGGGGGTCGATAAAAGAAAAGGAAGGAAGCGAAGTCCAGTGGGAGGTGAGAGACAGAAAGCATGTGGTTGGAGCCCCACGTCTCCGAAGAAGGAGGGAGAGGGTGACCTGGGATGCTCTCCCGTCCCCTGCCCCTCTCCCTTCCTAGGGGGGCTGCCCCCGTCCGGCCACAGCCCAGGCGGGGTGGGGGAAGGGCGGGGCGGCGCCGAGAAGAATGAATAATTGAGGTGGAGGGGAGGAGGAAGAAGAGGAGGAGGAGGAAGAGGGGGAGCCGGGAGCCGCCTGCACAGGGTCCTCCGCACTCCGCACCCCACCCCCTCCGCCGCCCGGAAGTCGCTCCCCGCCTCCTGCTCCGCCAACATGGCCGCGAAGTCGGATGGAGCGGCGGCCGCGGCCGCCCCG